GATATGACATAAATAATAACAGTTTGGTCTGGATTCAAAAATAATTACCCATATATAGCTACGATAAGCAATTATATTTTTATGTATAAAATTTAATTTTATTTGGAGCCAATTCTAATGATTAAAAGGTATTTACAATGATACTAGAATGCTTTCCATTTATCTTTACCACATTCATTGATTCCGGAATATCCATCATCGGAACCCTCAGGTTTTTTTTTAATTTTCGTTTCTTTTACAATATTTGAATTATTTTGACCACTTGCACTAATACTCGAAATAACGATGCACAGAAATGGTGTAACGATTGGTTTAGGAGAGCGACGCATAATTAATGCGTAGTGTATTTCCAACCGCTACTAGAAGTTATGTGGATTGAATGATACAGGATTTTTATGGGGAATGGTAATTCTATTCTGTAAGGGCGACTTAATGGTTGTGTAAACTTAATGAGAGAAAATCATTATGACTATGCACTTTATGATGAAAACAAGATTCTTCTGTTTATTAAAATAAATGCTTCATTTTTATACAGATGAAAAAGAACAGGGTTTGGAATCTATTCAATGATATAATATTTCTCTGACTGTCATGCATGCTTTGAGTTGGTTTATTGATTTCACTTTGAACAGTTATAATTTCATTGGCAGCAATAACATTAGAGTGTCCAGAGTACTGCGGTGGCAGAATCTGCGAATATAGTCTATTGTGATCAAATTAAAATTTTCATTTTGTTGTAATATTTTGTTTTTTAAAGTATTATTTATACGTCACCGCAGAATTTGCTAATTTGAACGATAATTGCAGCAGAATTTTTCAGTTAGAGCAGTACCCTGGACACTCTGTGTTAGCCTCATGTCAATATGGCACAATGCAGGAGGCTTTAACAATCACGATACTAATTTGGTTAGAGAATAATTACACCAAAAAAAGGTAAGATCATAAAATTAATTCATCACAATGGTGCAATGACCAAAAAAAATTGTAGGCATCAAATAACGACGACACTGAAATAAGCCAACGAAAAGCCACAGAAATGTACTAATGACGAAAAGAAAGTATGAACAATGATGCCACTGAAATGGACGAACACAAAAAACAAAATAAAAAATAAAATAAAAAATAAAAAATAACAAGTAAAAAATAAAAAGTACAAAATAAAAATAAAAAATACAAAATAAAAATAAAAAAATAACGACGACATCGAACCAACGATAAAAGAAAGTGAAAAAACAACGCCACTGAAATGGATATATAGCCGACAAAAAAAAAGCACCGAAAAACGAAACCGTGAACTGAAGAAAAAAAATACATATTAATACAAAGAATTAAAAAAGGAAAATAAAATAAAATTATGTACGCTTAAAAAAAAAATAGATAAAATATACCGGCCAATCAAGAAATGACTTGTTCGTTGATGACTTCTTTAATATTTCTGGAAAAGGCCAGAAATCGATCATGCCAAACATGTACAACATTTATCCTCTTATATTGAAGTTCCGTGCGTAGTCAATATGGACTTTTGACAACATCATCTTCACGTGAAAAATGAACAACCCATATTTTATCTAATTTTGTAAGGATAAAATGCCAAAAGTTCCAAAATCGCTATAGGTTTGGATGGTGATGCATTCGGTAAGGGGTAAAATTGGAGGCGCTCTTTACTTGAGATGTCTACGATTTGGCGAGTAGGATAGTTGTTGCTAGCCCTGCTTTATGTTTTATGACCTGAGTATATTGGTTGGTGATTAGTTTTTCTAACTACTTTAATGTTTTTACTAACACTATCTTGTATCTTTTAACAAGTTCTTTATTATGATATTTATCCCTTCCCGGGCATCACGAAAGATAAGTAATTAAGTAACTTCTTACATTTATACGTGCTTTTATGTATTGCTAATACCTGCTTACTAATTGTTTTTTCTATTATAGATTTTCCCACGTTTTATACTATCTGATTGTTCACCATGCCGCCGTTCATTGTCATGCATTCGATCCACGCCCGATTTAGTTATTGCGATTGTCGATCACAAATTCGGAGCTCTCAGGATCAGGTGCAGCGTAAAAATCGAAATGAAACTTTTTTTTTTTTTTTTACAAAAAATATAAGAATAGCCTAAATTTTAATTTAAGAACTCTTCTGCGGTCTAATTAAAAATTTCCTTGTGAATTTTTACTTATGGATCTCGTACTATTCCAGTCCTAACCCTAACTATAACTGATTTGCTTTAATTCTGCACGCGAATTTTTACTTAAAAAAACAACGCGTTTGTTTTGACTATAACGTTTCACTGATCTTAAATTTTTTTTTTTTGATTGATAAAAATTTACAGGGATTGAACAATTTTTATGGGAACACTACCTAAAATCATAGACAGGGGTACAGGAGTATGATCATCGATCGTACTACGTCAAGTCACGATCTCTTGGCCACGGTCTATTTTTCCGTGAAAATAACATCATCACAAAACTTTTCCAAATGCCATTGGCCGGTTACTTCGAAATTATGAAGCCGTCGTAGACATATACTCTGGATACTTTTACATCTTGCTTGGGCTTTTATATGAACGAATTGATCCTAGCGAGATTGTTTTTTTATCAAACGTACGGACAGTAGACTTTAGTATTTTGAGAATGTCTACAGATTCATTGGCTTGAAAAAGTACATCCGCATTTGAAATAAAAAAAAAAAAATTCTTCTCTGGTATTAAGGGCAGTGATGATGAAGACGACGATGATGAGAATAATAATAATGATATCGGTGGTGGAGATGATATCTCGGGTGATGATGATGGGAGGCAACAACGAAGGTCGTGATTCCGATGCCTTTTTATTTTGCAGTGCTTAGTCCACAAGGCACCTATTTTATCAGCATCAACCTAGTTACTGACTGGGTGGGTCACGACACACACACCAAAAAAAAAAGGAATGCGACGGATTGTCACTTAAAAAATTGTAAACGGGTCGTGCATTACTCGACGTTCGAGGCAGGAACGACTTGGCAAATTTTCCGGGAACAAGACTTTAAAGAGTGTTGGGTTGTTATTTATAAGACCTTTCTTTATTAATGGCTTATTTTGTGTAGTGCACACACAAAAGAGAAAATTATCTTCTTTTTTATAACAAGACTACAAGAATAAAATCGAAGATTTTTCCTTCTTTCTTTTGCTATTGAGTCTAAGCCGTTCTGCCTTATTTGAACTAACTCATTACCCCTTACTCACAGCCTCCATAATTAAGCTCTTTACAGAAGGATAAAGAAGGCAAGTCAAAGAAAAAAACTTTCGCCATTATCGTTGCAGCATCGTTATTCACTCATTGACACAATCGCATTTCATCTACCACGGCCACACACTTCAGCACTTATCCCGACAAGGTAATATTACCTTGACAGCTATCAAACTAAATCGGGTAAGCGTCACTTTTCAATAGGATCTACGGCGTAATCGTTCGATGGGACTAGGGATTGTCATTCAAATCTTGTTTGATCCCGAGGCATTACGACTATTTAGTGCGTAACGTTCGTGGTGATACTACCTCTAACACTATGTAAGGCTATTTTACGATAACCCAAGGTTGGCCAACTCTGTAGTAAGCATAACCAGACAAAAAACAAGACAGATCCCTGGAAAAGTATCCCCTTTAAATAGTATCGGGGTACTGTTCAATTCTGCAATTGTAAAATTTGACATTACTGTAAAATATCCCGATACTAACCAAGTAACCAATCAATATCATGACACAAATTCGATATACCTACTATAATTTATAAAAATATTACTTTATTAATATACATATTTAATAATTTTTTTATCAAAAGTTTCTACCATTATTGCATCTATGGTTTTTTTTTTAAAAAAAAAAAAAACAATCGCACTTTCTAATTTTACGGTCATATTTGATCATTAATTGTGACGGATGATGCTGAAGTTTGGCTGATGTTGAAGCTAAAAAATCTGATTGGTTAGGGTTAGGGTGATCTGCAAAATTTAGCCAATCAGATTTTTTAGCTTCAACATCAGCCAAACTTCAGCATCAGCCGTAACATTAATTATCCCATACATTACGATTTTAAAAATAGTGACTTCTTGGATAACCAGACTCGAAGTTGCTTTGCTTCAATATTAAATTTAGCCGCTTTTCGATTCTTCTATAACCACTTTCATAATATGAAATAATGGCATTTCTGAAAAAGACCAAAGGTACTGTATGCAGCGCTGTACGGTATTATGCTAAGTTCTCTAATACAAAGAGATTTTGACAATTTTCAATAGTGGAGTACTGCAACCTTAATAAACTTCTATGTACGGTGCGGGAAATTTAAAAACCTCAATCTTCATGCCAAGAAAAATATGTACTTAATAGGAGCTGTTTTATGCATACGGCTGAAACTTAAAATTAGCCGCTAATGAATTTAGCTTATCTTCAATGTGCTGGTTGTTTTTATTCTATATAAAGTGATTGAAGTTTTTAGATTTCTGCACAGTACTTCTTTTTTATTCATTCTCTGTACTGTATTTTTAAATAAAAAGTACTATAAACTGTATAAATATTGTAAAATTAAATTTGTTTATGATAAAATATAAAAAGCAAGTTATTGACAACCTAGTATCTGCATATCTCATGTCAAAATATAAAAAACCTGTAAGTCGATTTCTCACACAACCCTTACTATTTTTTATTTTGCATAAAGCATTATTATTAGAAAATCAGCTCGGGAACTATCAATTCGGTTGTTTCTGCCGGACGTGCGTTCAATTTGTCTGTACGTATATGGTCCTTGCTTCGCTTCGGACAATTATTAAGATATTTATTTTCTAAAAAAAAGTGGGCTGAACCCCTTACATTAGTGATGTTAAATTACGTATAGTTTAAAGCACCACCGATTACACGTCATATATGTAACTTATTATAATTTAAATCATATAAATAGATAAATAAATCATCCCTTTATTCTTATTATTTGATTCTCAAGGAAACTTTCTTTAGCAAAATTTAAAATGACCGTCTTAAATGTTATTAAATCATTTTTATTCACTTTCAGCTTTGCTGACTACCTTATTTTAATTGCGATTGCTTTTTTAACCTATGTATTTCGATTCTATTACAAGTACTTTACACGTCCTAATAAATTGCCCGGGCCTTTACCACTTCCTTTTATAGAATGCGCTTATATGTTTACAAGTAATACTAAGGATCAATTTACATTACTCCAACAAAAATATGGTGACATTTGTGAAATTTACCTTAACGGCATGAAACATATTGTGATTTCACGTCCTGAATATCTTGAAAAGATGTTAACCCCTTCATCTAAAGATCCTACTTATTTGGTAAGATTGCCATATACTGAAGGATTTAAAGAATTTGGAATGGCTGGAAAAGGCTTAATAGCAAATCATGATGTAAAAAATTGGAAATTTAATCGACATTTCTTTAATCAAGCCGTTTTATCTTCAAGCTTTATTCATGAAGTTGTAGAATGGGCTAATAAGTTATTTCCTGAATTAGAAGGTTATTGGAAATCTCTTGCTAATTTAAACTTATCTGGTGATAATTTACAAGATAACAATAATTGGACTCTAGAAGTTGATCTAGCAAAATGGATTGGTAGATTTGCCAATGATATGTTTGTGGTTTTGATCACTGGTGAAAGATCACATTCGATGGCTTTGTATTATAATATTCAGAGTCCTGCAAAAGTTTCTCGCTCAGATACATTGATCCAAGATTCGGAAAAATTTATTCAAGCAATTGGTGATCACATTAGGGGTCTCACATTATTTATGTATCTTAATTCATTCTTTCGGCATTACGTGCCATCTTATAAATATCAGATCAAAAAGCTGCTTGATAATCGTGATTATTTATTTGAATTATTTGATAATATTATTAAGAAAAGAAGGAAAGAGATTGAAGAGACTCCAGTAGGCGACAAATTAAGGCATGATATGTTGACATCTTTAATTACTGCTAATACAGAAAGAGATGTAAATAATACAAAGAGCATTCAAGGTGATATTCTTAGACCGTTGTCTGATGATGAAATTAGAGGTAATTTGCTTGATGCTTTCTTGGCCGGAACTGATACTGTATGTATTATTCTGTCGTTATTTTAACATAATCTTATCGTAATTTAACGTAATGATAATTATTAAAAAATTTTAGGTTACATCTGCATTTTCTTTTATATCCTATTATCTCTGCCATTATCCTCAAGTTAAACAAAAAGTGGTCGCCGAAATCGATTCGATATTTCCTCCAAATGCACCTTTTAATATGAATTACAGCGATCTCTTAAAATTAGAATATTGTGATGCGGTAATTAATGAAGTTTCACGAATTAGACCTGTTTCAAATGAATTCCCAAGATATGTTGAAAACCCTTGTGAAGTTGCTGGGTACCATTTTGATGAGAATATAGTGTTCCATATAAACGTAAATAGTATTCATTCGCATAAAGATCATTGGCCGGATCCAGAAATTTTTGATCCCGAGCGATTTTATAAAAAAGATCCTAATGCAAGGCATAAATTCTCTCTAGTTCCATTTGGTGCTGGATTACGTGATTGCCCAGGAAGAAAGTTAGCCACAGTAGAATTACTTTCATTATTGGTATTGCTATTCAGAAAGTATGATATTGAGTTAGTTGATATGAATGCCCCATTGAAGATTAAATCTGCATTAATTAAGTTATGTGAGGAATTGAAAGTTAGAATTAGGCCTAGAAATTAACTGTTATCATTATTTCTTTGTTGTGATCAAATCTACAATAGTTAATTTACGTGAGAAATTGAAAGTTAGAATTAGGTCTAGAAATTAAATGCTGTTGTCGCTATTTCTTTGTTGTGCTTTTTAGCATTTAATAATTTTTTTCTTTTGATTTGCTATTATTTATTAAATTATTAAATGATTATCGTCGTCGCTAGTTATAAATATCATCCACAATAATTAATTTTTTGTATTTATTATTTATTAAAACGATGAATGGTCAGGATTGCTATTTTTGAATTTTCAAAATGTAACGTTTCATCTCTTTAAACCAGGGGTACCGAAAAATTAATTGCAACTCAATTAATATGCAATTATAATTGATTGTAATTGTTATTGTATCCAATTA